TCGCCCATGTAGACCACGACGCGGCCGTCCGCGTTGACCAGCGATTCCGCGCCCTCGTGCTTGAAGCGGCCGAGCGCGCTGCGCTTCTTCGGCGTCGCGGCGGGGTCGAGGGGGTCGACCTCGACGACCCAGCCGAAGCGGTTCGGCTCGTTCGGCTCCTTGGTCACGTCGAAGCGGTCGTGGTGGCGCCCCCAGGCATACCAGCCGCCGGGCACGCCGTAGCGCTCCAGCGCCGCCTGCTGCGGATGCCCTTCGGCCGTGCCCAGGAAGTAGCCGTGGAAGTTCTCCTCGGCCATCAGGTAGGTGCCCCAGGGAGTGATGCCGCCGGCGCAGTTGTTCAGCGTGCCGATCACCCGCGTGCCGCTGGCGTCGGCCGAGGTCTGCAGCAGCGGGTGACCGGCCGCCGGGCCGCTGATCTCCATCTCCGTGTCGCTGGCGGTGATACGCCGGTTGAGCGCGCCGCCGCGCACCAGGCGCCAGGTGCCCTCGACCTTCTCGATCTCGACGATCGATCCGCCGTGCGCCGCCATCTCGATGTCGACCAGCGCGCGGGTCATGCCGGCGAAGTCGGCTTCGCCGTCCTGGCGGCCGAGGCCGGGGAACATCACCTCCTCGTTGGTGTACTCGTGGTTGACGCAGAGCAGGCCGCGCTCGGCGTTGTCGGAGCCGTAGGGCAGGCCGATGTAGCCGACGTAGTCGTTGTTGTAGCCGAATTGCTTGGCCTGGGCTTCGGCCGTCTGGTTCATCGGGTCGAAGGCCGGCGCGTCGGCGGTGACCGGATCGCCCCAGCGGATCAGCACCTCGGCGCGGTAGCCCGGTGCGACGTGGTGCGTCTCGTCGACCCCATGCGCGATCTCGGAGAAGTTATAGGAGGCCGAGGCGGCCAGCGCCTGGCGCGGGCCGGCGCCGAGCAGCCCGCTGCCGGCGATCGCGCCCATGGCCGCGACCCCCAGCGCGCCGCGCAGCACGTCGCGGCGGCCGAAACGGCGGTTGACCACGTCGCCGAAGGTCGGCGCGTTCGAGCGGTTGGCGGGAACGTCCTCGGAGGCCTCGTAGGCCTCCGCCCGGTTGGAATAGTGCGACAGGTCGGTCTTGGTCATCGATTGCTCTCTCCCAGGCCCGGTCTCGCGGCGGCCGGCCGCGAGATTCTTGTTGCGAAAGCGGGGGTTGGCCGGGCGCGCGGCGCCGCGCCCTTGGTTCAGAGACTTAACGCGCCGGCTTTGACGGTTCCGTGACCGCCAGGTTAAATTCTGCCGTCAGTGGTGCGCAAATGACCGGCGACAGCCGCGGGTTCGCGGTGCGGCGACGACGACGCCCGCCGCGCCACCGATGGCGCCCGCGCGGGTCGCCCAAGTCATCCAAAGGGCCGCAGCTTTCGTAAACCCTATCGATGGTGTGGCCGAGAAGTGGCCGACCAGGGTGCGTGGCTTCGGCCGCGCGTCGCGGTGAAGGCGCCACGAAAGATCGAAGGAGGGGCTGAGCGCGATGGCACGAGGCAAGCTGCAAAGGCGCGGACTCATGGCGGCGGCGTTGGCCGTGGCGGTGGGGCTGCCGGCGGTGGCCTCGGTGCCGCCGGACGGCGATCTCGCCTTCCGCGTGCTCCGCGGCGACTCGCCGATGGGCGACCACCGCCTGACCTTCCAGCGCGACGGCGCGCGGCTGGAGGTGCTGGTCTCGATCGACCTCGACGTCAAGCTCGGGCCCTTCACGCTCTACGAATACACCCACGAGAACCGTGAGGTCTGGCGCGACGGCCGCCTGGTCCGGCTGAGCACCGAGACGGACGACGACGGCGAGTCCTTCTTCGTCGAGGCGCAGCGCACCGACGACGGCTTGCGGGTCGAGACCCGGGAGGGCAGCCGGATCGTGCCCGGCGACATCATCCCCTCGAGCTACTGGAACTACGCCATCGTCGAGGCCGAGCAGGTGCTCGACACCCAGAAGGGCCGCGTCCTCGACGTCGCCACCGAATTCGTCGGCGAGACCGAGATCTGGGTCAACGGCGCGCTGATTCCGGCGCGCCACTACCGCATGCGCGGCGACCTGGAGCTGGACCTCTGGTACGACGCCGACCGCGAATGGGTGAAGACCGCCTTCGAGATCCGCGGTGAGCAGATCGAGTATTTCCGCGGCGGCGTGCCGGAGAACCTGGAGCAGGCGAGCTACTTCGCGCAGCGGCGCGGGGACGGCGGTGCGCTGGACGGCGGTGCGCTGGGCGGTGACGCGCTGGGTGGCGGCGGGGGCGAGCGCTAGACGCCGCATGGCCTCCGGTAGCCTGCGCCTGTTGCTCGGCGACCAGCTGAGCCGGGGCCTCTCCGCCCTGAGCGACCTCGACCCCGACCGCGACCGGGTGCTGCTGGCCGAGGTCTGGGACGAGGCGACCTACGTCCGCCACCACAAGAAGAAGATCGCCTTCGTCTTCTCCGCCATGCGCCACTTCGCCGCGGCGCTGCGCGACGAGGGGGTCGCGGTCGACTACGTCACCCTCGACGATCCCGAGAACAGCGGCAACCTGCGCGGCGAGGTGGCACGTGCGCTGCGCCGCCGCGCGGCCAAGCGGGTGGTGGTCACGGCGCCGGGCGAGTGGCGCCTGTGGCAGGATCTGCAGGGTTGGGAGGCGGCGCTCGGCCTGCCGGTGGAGATCCGCGCCGACGAGCGCTTCTTCTGCACGCCGGCCGACTTCGCCGCCTGGGCGAAGGGGCGCAAGGCGCTGCGCATGGAGTACTTCTACCGCGAGCTGCGGCGCCGCACCGGCTATCTGATGGACGCCGGCGGCGCGCCCGAGGGTGGGCGCTGGAACTTCGACCAGGACAACCGCAAGGCGCTGCCGCGCGCGGTCGCGCCGCCGCCGCTGCCGCAGGTCGCGCCGGACGCCACCACCCGCGCCGTGCTGGAGCTGGTCGACGCGCGCTTTGCCGCGCACTTCGGCGACCTGGAGCCCTTCGGCTTCGCGGTGACGGCCGCACAGGCCGAGCGGGCCTTCGAGGACTTCGTGACGAGGCGGCTGTCCAGCTTCGGCGATTATCAGGACGCCATGGCGCGCGGCGAGGCGACGCTGTTCCATTCGGTGATCGCGCTCTACCTCAACGCCGGGCTGCTCGACCCCCGGGCGGTCTGCGCGCGGGCCGAGAAGGCCTGGCGCGACGGCGCCGCGCCGCTCAACGCGGTGGAGGGCTTCATCCGCCAGATCCTGGGCTGGCGCGAGTTCGTGCGCGGCCTCTACTGGCTGGAGATGCCGGACTACGCGCGGCGCAACTTCTTCAACGCCCGGCGCGGCCTGCCGCGCTTCTACTGGACCGGCGAGACGGAGATGACCTGCCTGGCCGAGACGATCGGCCAGACCCGATCCGGGGCCTACGCCCACCACATCCAGCGTCTGATGGTGACGGGAAACTTTGCGCTGCTGGCGGGCGTTGACCCCAAGGCCGTGAACGAGTGGTACCTGGCGGTCTATGCCGACGCCTACGAGTGGGTCGAGCTGCCCAACGTGACCGGGATGGCGCTGTTCGCCGACGGCGGGCGCCTCGCCTCCAAGCCCTACGCGGCGAGCGGCAAGTACATCGACCGCATGTCCGACTACTGTCGGGCCTGCCCCTACGACGTGAAGAAGGCGACCGGTGCCGATGCCTGCCCCTTCAACTATCTCTATTGGGACTTCATCGCCCGCAATGGCGAGAAGTTCGACCGGAACCCGCGCATGTCCATGATTCTCAAGTCCTTCCACCGCATGCAGCCGGACAGGGTGCGGGCGATGCGGGCCCAGGCGAAGAGCTTTTTGGAGGCGCTGGACACGGTGGGGGCGGGGCAATGGCGCGCGACGTGAGCGGCTGCGTGTGGATCACCGGCGCCTCCCAGGGGCTGGGCCGGGCGCTGGCGCTGGAGCTGGCGCGGCGCGGCCGCACGGTGGTCGCCAGCGCGCGCGGCGAGGACAAGCTGACCGAGCTGACCGAGGCGGGCGCCGACTGCGCCGGGCGCATCCTGGCCTGGCCGCTCGACGTCACCGACGCCGCGGCGGTGGCGGCGGCGCTGGAGCGGATCGCCGCCGAGGTCGGCCCGATCGACACGGCGGTGCTCAATGCCGGCACCCATCGCCCGGTCGACGGGCGGCATCTCAGGGCCGCCGACTTCCGCGAGCTGGTCGAGCTCAACGTGATGGGCACGGTGACTTGCCTGGAGCCGCTGATCGCCGCCATGACGGCGCGCGGGCGCGGCCGCATCGCGGTCGTCGCCTCGCTGTCCGGCTATCGCGGCCTGCCCTCGGCCGCCGCCTACGGTCTGACCAAGGCCGGGCTGATCAACATGTGCGAGGCGCTGCGCCCGGAACTGGCGCTGGCCGGCATTACCTTGCAGGTGGTCAACCCGGGCTTCGTGCGCACGCCGCTGACCGACCGGAACGACTTTCCCATGCCATTCCTGATGGAGGCCGAGGCGGCGGCCCGCGCCTTCGCCGACGGGCTGGAGTCGCGGCGCTTCGAGATCGTCTTCCCGCGCCGCTTCGCCTACCTCCTGAAGCTCTTGCGCCTGCTGCCCTATCCACTCTACTTCGCGGCGACGAAGCGGATGGTGAAGGACCGGCCGGAGCCGGCGCGATGAACCGCGCGGAGACGCTGCGGCGCTACGGCGCGCTCTTCGCGGCGCTGACGCCCGAGCGCCTGCCCGAGCTGGGCGAGCTGGTCGGCGACCAGGTGCGCTTTCGCGACCCCTTCAACGACGTGCAAGGGCGCGACGCCTTTCTCGGCGTCTTTCGGGAGATGTTCGACACCCTGGTCGAGCCGACCTTTGCCGTGGAGGACAGCGCGCTGGGCGCGCGCGCCGGCTACCTGCGCTGGACCATGACCTTCCGCACCCGCCGCGGCGGCGCGGCCTGGCGGATCACCGGCATGTCGGAGCTGCAGTTCGACGACGACGGCCGGGTCGTCCTGCACCTCGACCACTGGGACGCCGGCAGCCAGTTCTACGCCAGGCTGCCGCTACTCGGCTGGCTGATCGAGCGGGTGCGCCGGCGCGTGGCGCACTGAGCCGCCGACGCGGTCGCCGCGCGCGCCGTAATTTATCCAGCAATTAAGATTTATCCGGTTTCTTGGCGGCAGGCCGCGCGTGCGGCCGGCCGTCGGCGCGAGCGCTGTCGGCCCAACCCCGCTGCGACGAGTTTCGACGATGCCGTTTGCCAGCCGTGGCGGAGACTATCCCCGGCCGTTCGACGAGGCCTATCGCCAAAGTGTTCTCGACGCCTGCGGCCTGGTCGATCAGCCGCCGGACCCCGATCTCGAGCGTGTCGCCCGCCTGGCCGCGCGCCGCTTCAACGCGCCGATGGCCCTGGTTTCCCTGCTCGATGGCGGCCGCCAGTGGTTCCCCGCGCAGGTCGGCATGGCGGCGCGCGAGACGCCGCGCGATTGGGCCTTCTGTGCCCACGCGGTGGTCCTCTCCGCGCCGCTCGTCGTCGCGGACGCCCAGGCCGACCCGCGCTTCGCCGACTCGCCGCTGGTCACCGGGGCGCCCTACCTGCGCTTCTACGCCGGCGTGCCGCTGGTCGTCGAGGAGGCCAGGCTGGGCACTCTCTGCATTCTCGATACCGTTCCCCGGCCGGCGTTGCGGGCGGAGGAGCTTGCCGATCTCGAAGACTTCGCGGCCCTGGCCAGCAGCCTGCTGACGGCGCGGCGGGCGAGCGGCGACGGGCTGCAGGCCCAGGAAGCCGAGCAGGCGCGGGAGCGGAGCCGCGCCCTGGCCCTGCTCAGTCACGAACTGCGCACCCCCTTGAACGCGCTGCTGGGCTTCGCCGACATCATCGCCGACGAAGCGCTGGGGCCCGTCTCCCCGCCGGCCTATCGCGACTATGCCGTGCATCTGCGCGATGGTGGCCGCCGCCTCGAGCGGCTGGCGGACCGCGCGCTGCGCTACACCCAGATCGCGCTGGGGCGGGTGGAGCTCGACGAGGAGGCGGTCGGGGCCGCCGAGATCGTCGCGCGGGCCTGCGGCCTGATCGCCGCCCAGGCGCGACACGCGGGCGTCACCCTGGTCGTGCCGGACCCGCCGTGCGCGGCGGAGGGCCTGACGATCACGGCGGATGCCGCGCTCCTCGAGCAGGCGCTGTTTCAGCTTCTCCGCAACGCCCTCGAGCACGGCTGCGAGCGAACGGATGGCGAGCCCTGCCGGATCACCGTGACCCTTGCCTGTCCGGACGGCTGCCCGCGCTTTACCGTGCGCGACGAGGGGCCCGGTCTCTCGCCGCAGGAGTGGTCCGCGCTGGTCAAACCGCTGGCCGTGGCGGGAGACCTCATGCAGCGCGGCTGCGAGGAGTCGCTCGGGCTCGGCTTGGCGCTGGCCAAACGGCTGCTCGAACTGCATGGCGGCCGCTTGGAACTCGACGAGGCCGGGCCGGGCGCCGGCGCGGCGGTGTCGCTGATCCTGCCGCGCTGGCGCCGGCTGGGCGCGGCGGGCGCCGAAACCGCCGCGGGGTAAGGGCGCGCGCCGCCGGGCGGGCTTGACAGGGCCGGGCCCGCTGCCCATACGGAATTGAGAGCTGGGGTGCCGTTGCCCCCTTGCGAAGCCCTCCACGGAGGGCCGGGCGACGGCTGAGATCATACCCACACCACCTGATCCGGGTCATGCCGGCGAAG